CGTTGTTTTTTTTTTACGGCTTCTAAGTTTCTTGTCTGCTTGACCCCACGTTGATTGTATTGATATGAACGCCATTGATTGGCTCCTTTGATTTTTTGACTCCACAAATTGATTTATGCTATTAAATTTACAGGCTGTGGTCTCTTTAGTGGCAATTAAGACAGCCAACCACCGACCAAGTTTCTGTTCCTGGTCAAATTTGTCGAAGAAAAACTTCCCACAAAGTTGCGATCACTTCAATTTTTCACGAACTATCTAAGCATCCCAATTTTTCTTCGGATACGTACTACCGAAAAAATCAGCTTTGATCATACTACCGTTAGAACTGATTTATCTATTTGAATTTTTTTCCGGGTCCGAAAAAATTGTAATTGCAATTAGCAGGATTATTTCTTGCCCAAAAATTTGTTTCAGAATACGACAGTAAATTATAGAACAAACTTTGATATTCCGTTTTTGCCACGCGACAAACAGGCTCTTGCAAAAATGTTCATATTACAATTTCTTGATTATAGTCTGGATAGATAATTTCGAATCTCCAAAAACTTCGGTTTTTGTTCTCAAAATTGGAAATGGGAAGGAACTTCGTATTCGGGTGTTTTATTTTCTTCGATTTTAATTAATTTCTACGTAAAATCTGGTAACCCAAATAATCATCGTATTAGGTCGAGTGATATATCATATTAAAACTCTTTCAGTCGTGATGCGAATGGAATTAAGAACTTCACAAAAATTTTTCCGAGTGTTGAAAAAAACTGGTTTGCACTTTTTGAGATTTAGTCTGCTTTTGAGCGAATAACTTGAAAATTGTATATTTAGGCGCGGAAAATTTGATTTTTTTAACTCAGATTTACATACTAAAAACGTTACTTGTTTTATATGGTTAGAAAAATTTTACTATAAAAGTTTTGGTGATAAAAAAGTTGCCTGTTTTTTTACCAAATAAGGTTTTTTGTAGCAGATGAAAAATAAACACAATATTTCTTATGATTTTTTGATTTTTCGGGTGAAAACTTAATCTGGGCTGCGTCATAGACACAAAATAATGATTTTTTTTGGAAAAGTTTAGTTGCGCACAGAAGTGAGTTTGCAATCAAAAAAGAAAAAAAAGTACCTCAAAACTATTTTCTTATGGAAAAAATGCAGATCATAAAGTTTTCATATATTGTATGATGAACATTTTTTGAATTCAAAATTGCTCTCATGCTATCAAAACTACCAACAGTTTGTATTTTTTGAGTTTTAAATCAATTTAAGATAAACTTTCGAAAAAACTCAATTGAACAACTGCTTTTCATACAATTTTCTTCTTTGAAAGTTGTATGAAAAGCATTCGCTCCATAGACTCCATGTAATAAAATGTATGACAAGCAATTTTCTTGTTTGTACATCAACTCGGGTATCCAAGTACTTGAAAGAGAACCGGCTGAAATCAGAAATGAACCGTCTGATGATCGTGCTAAGACTTTTTAAAATTCTTGTTTTGTTAGTTTTTGTAATTTTCAATAGTATTTATGAGAAAATGAATGAAAAACTTATGCAGAATGTCAATATGTGTATTACTGATAAGAATGGGCAGGATTTAAAGTTTTCTATTTCTGATTTAAACAAGGTTGCTCGTATCAGGGTGAACCCCTGAATGTTATGAAGGCCATTGAACGCCAGAAACTGAACAAATCGAAACATGCTTATGCATTCGATGACTTAACATATAGTTTAGTATACTTTTGTTAGTTTTATGTTCTACGCTATATTCAAAACAGTGTGTTAAATTTTGCGTCTAGTAAGTAATTATTGAAAAGACCAAGTTATCTGCCTCAATTCAATTTAGAAAGATTTAGATCATATTAAAACTCTTTCAGTCGTGATGCGAACGGCATTAAGAACTTCTCAAAAATTTTTCATTGTGTTGAAAAAAACTGGTTTGCACTTTTCAGATGTAGTCTGCTTTTGAGCGAATAACTTGAAAATTGTATATTTAGGCGCAGAAAATTTGATTTTTTTAACTCAGATTTACATACTAAAAACGTTACTTGTTTTATATGGTTAGAAAATTTTTCTATAAAAGTTTTGGTGATAAAAAAGTGGCCTGTTTTTTTTTACCAAATAAGGTTTTTTGTAGCAGATAAAAAATAAACACAATATTTCTTATGATTTTTTGATTTTTGGGTGAAAACTCAATCTGGGCTGCGTCATAGACACAAAATAATGATTTTTTCTTTGGAAAAGTTTAGTTGCGCACAGAAGTGAGTTTGCAATCAAAAAAGGAAAAAAAGTACCTCAAAACTATTTTCTTATGGAAAAAATGCATATCATAAAGTTGACATATATTGTATGATGAACATTTTTTGAAGCCAAAATTGCTCTCATGCTACCAAAACTACCAAAAATTTGTATTTTTTGAGTTTTAAATCAATTAAAGATAAACTTTCGAAAAAACTCAATTGAACAACTGCTTTTCATACAATTTTCTTCTTTGAAAGTTGTATGAAAAGCATTCGCTCCATAGACTCCATGTAATAAAATGTATGACAAGCAATTTTCTTGTTTGTACATCAACTCGGGTATCTAAGTACTTGAAAAAGAACCGGCTGAAATCAGAAATGAACCGTCTGATGATCGTTCTAAGACTTTTTAAAAGTCTTGTTTTGTTAGTTTTTGTAGTTTTCAATAGTATTTACGAGAAAATGAATGAAAAACTTATGCAGAATGTCAATATGTGTGTTACTGGTAAGAATTGGCAGGATTTAGTGTTTTCTATTTCTGATTTAAACAAGGTTGCTCGTATCAGGGTGAACCCCTGAATGTTATGAAGGCCATTGAACGCCAGAAACTGAACAAATCGAAACATGCTTATACATTCGATGACTTAACATATAGTTTAGTATACTTTTGTTAGTTTTATGTTCTACGCTATATTCAGAACAGTGTGTTAAATTTTGCGTCTGGTAAGTATTTATTAAAAAAACCAAGTTATCTGCCTCAATTCAATTTAGAAAGATTTAGCTTGGCACTTACGCTTTGATAGGGTTAAGTTAATTTTATAGCGAGTTAATTATTTTATCCCATATTGTCAATTTTCAACCTCCATAATTTTGCAAAAGGAACTATCACAGGCAAGATGTCGTTTTGTTTTTTAGCCTGGGATATCATTGGTTTTCAGAACTATATGAAAGGTTTCGTCAAAAATGGCCAGTTATACTGGCGAAATGTGTCTGGATAAAATAAACCCCACTCTGAGCACAAATTTTTCCGTCACTTTATTCGATATTCGAGACAATTATTTTTTGTTATAATTCCTAAATTAGTAGTTTTTTTTAGATAAGAAAAACAACTTCTTGTGAATGAATTCAGTTTCAAACACAACATCACCTTATCATGGCGAGATATGTTATTGAGTCGTGGGTTGATGCAAAAAGAAATAGGGTTTGAGGAATTGTTTTAAGAAGTTGAAAATAAACATGTAAGAACATTTTGGTTTTTTGACGAAGATTTAGGATTGTTTTGCTGACCAAATCATATTTAATTTATTATTTTTTGACTTGAATTGTTAAGCGGCAGGGTCAGCACATTGCTTTATCTTGTCTACCATCTAAAATGAAGAGGAACTTCGGATCAATTTATGAAAACAGTAGATGAAATTGAGAAGTTTCACTTCAGGGATTGACTCAGAAAGGCATCGTTTTACTTAATTATTATGTGGTCTATTATTGCTGGTAGAAAACTGACTGAAGTTCAATGCCTCAAAAAAATTGATTTTTTTAAATTTTGTATTTAGAGTTAGTAAAATTTAGGAAACTTAAATTTTCAAATTATGCAGCTGCTGGAAAATTCACCTTTTCTGATCGAGGTCAAATTTTCACGCTATTTTTAAATATTTTTCAAGTTTATTTTTGATTTAAAAACAATTAGATGTTCAAATCTCTCTACTCTGAATGTTGTGGTCAGAAAAATCTTTTCCGGGTACTTAGTGCAAAATCAGGTGTCATAATTAATTTAACATCTGAATAAATGTGTTAACGACAATCTGAATAAATGTGTTAATGAAGCACTTACAATCGAGAAAAACCGGCATAAAACTTAAGATAATTTAGAGCTAGTAAAACGATTGAGTAGAGCGTATGTCTACTAAATAAACTATGAAAATTGATTTTCACAGCCTTAAATAGTGCTTTCCGACACTAAAAGATGAATCTGAAAAAATAGTTTTTTCGGGAAGAAATTTTATTTTGTTTTTCTTGTTCACTTTTAAGGAAGAAAACTAATCAGTTAAAGCTAGTTGAAGAAAACTAGGCAGGTAAAACTAACGCAATTCATTTTCATCTGACCATTGAAATTGGACTGGGTCGAATGATATATCATATTAAAGACCTTTCAGTCGTAATTCCGAGTATATTGAAAAATTTTCGAAAAGTTGTTCCTGTTTCAAGAGACGCCGGTGTAAGGGTTTGAGTTTTAGTTCAATTTTGAGCCAGGAAAGCGGGCAAGCAGGCTTATTATGGAAAGACGGCGTGAAACTTTTATTCAAGCCCTAAAAATTCAGTTTTGTTGTTGGTTTTTGCTCATTTTTTGCCTATTTTTCAATGAATCTCGAAAATGCTTAAGTTTTAGACTTTCGATCAGATCAAACCACACACCAAAAAGTAATTTGAAAAAAAAAGACAAAAAAGATTTATTTTGTTGTTATTTCAAGGAACTGGCTATCCTTCCTTGTTCATTTTTGAGGTTTTATAGTCCTCTACGATACTATGCCTCATATTTCAAAAATGAACAGTTTTTGAAAGGCCGAAAACTGCTCCGCGAAAACCAGATGGTTGAAACACGTTCCTGGAGATATACCAATGATTTACAAACATTATCTTCAAAAATTGTTCTTTTTCGTTTAAACTTGAACAGCAGAATTCGATACTACAGGCAACATTTGGATGACCTGATTCAAAAAAGCTGGAACGAATCATCAAGTTTCTTGTGTCACCTTGTTCCTCGGCCTTTAAAAACAATTGCAAATAGAAAACATCTAAATTTGTATGATTTGTGATGTGCTTAAATAAGCGTAGAAACAATAGCTGTAAATAAATTAATGAAGTCTATTAATAATTTGTCAAATGCACGCAGTTTATTTGAGTTTCACTCTTAATGACGAAAGGCTGATTTGGTTTGGTAGCATAAATGAGACAAAAAGCGCAATCCAATGAACAGACAATCATTTACGCATTCCCATACAAAAATAATTTGATTTCAAATCAAAAACTTCGCATGATGAGCAAAGGTAGCAAGCATGTCAGGTACAATTTACAATTTGGCCGTAAGAGGGCGAATTATTTCACCAGGTTCCCTCTTTCTAAGATGAAACAACATGTCCATTAGATATAGAAATTGAATACGAATGATAGAACGAAATTTCCAAAAACAGATCAAACTGCTTTTGTAGTCAAATCCATGGGTGCAGAAATAGGTGATACCACCGACGCACAAATATTAGTGGTGTTTCCATTCATTTGGGGAATAATTTCAGATCTGGAGTAATTATTATTATTGATAACAGGTGTTTCATAACCAATCGGAACCGGAACCGCATAGGTGTATCCGTTTTCTTCGCGTACTTTAGCCGAAACTGAAATTTTGACAGCTTGCACGTGACGGGGTCCAAACAGATGATCTCGATACGCGCTGCTGTTTGAGAATTTCAACTCTGGACAATATTGACATGAGTTTATTCCTTCGGCTAGCTGTCCGTCGGCCATGTGGTTTCCAAACTCGGATTCCACCACCGGTTTTCCTTTCTTCTCTTTTGATCTGGCGTTCTGGAACCACACTTGCACTACTCGTTTGGAGAGGCCGAGTTCGTGGCCGATTTGTTCGCACTCGCCCATGCTCGGGGTCTTGAAGTCGAGGAACATGGCTTTGAGAGTTCTCACCTGGAATGGAACAAATCTGTTATATAGACTTTTCAGATACTACATCGGTTCACTGTGATGTTTCAAAACTATAAAATGCTAGATGTTTGAAAAAACTGCACCATTTAAAAAACTATATAAAAATCTGGAAGATCGTGAGAAAACATAATATACAAATTTTTAACCATGTCTTCCAAAACTTAAAAACTTGAATAAAATTTGATTTAAAATTGCTACAAGCTAACAAAAAATACAAAAAAAAACTATTTTTAATTTCGAAGGTAATTAAATTTCAAGCTTTTTAGAGATGATTCCAGACTAAATTGTGTGTGCACCTGTACGTTTGACAGATGAGTCCTATGTCGCTTTTTGTCATCATTGTTTCCGAATAGTCCGAATGAACCCATTGAGGCAGCAACAGAAGGGGAGGAGGCAGAGTTCAGGGTGGATGACGTCATGAACTCGCTAGCTGGACTGACTGCCGAGTCACTCAACTTGTACGACTCCTCGCTACAACAGAAAACCATTTAAAAACTATACTTCTGCGCATATAGCACAAAACATACAGATAGCAAAAAGATTTTTAAGTTGAAAGAAAAATAAACAGACCATGCTCTTATTAAAAGCCAAATAAATGAAGGACCTCAACGACTTGACAAGAATAGCTTAATATGGCTAAACAAAACATGTAAAAACGCAATAAAGTAGCTTCAGAGAAAAAAGTGTCAAGATGTCATTTTTTCAAAGATCAAATATTGGCTAAAAATTCTGTAACATGCACCTTATCAGATAATGAGATGACATGTCAACATCAAAAGCTTGGTTTTTTTTGCTATTATGATTCCAATAACTTGTATTTTGTAAAAAAAAAATGAAAATCTTACTTCGATCCGTCAGAATAAAATGACACTTCATGCAGTTTTGAATCATCTCCATCATCGAAGCACTTTCCTGTCGACACCTGAGAGACAATGTCACTGAAAGAACTCTTGCCACTTCCCGAACCGTCGGCTACTCCAAAAGACTTCAAAGAAGTTCCAAAGTTTCGAGAAGCTGCCGAGACAATCGAGCTCACAGATGCGACTAGCGATTCCAGTGGTTTCGGATCGTGGGTCGAAACAGCCGACGTCAAGTTTACACCCACTAAACCAGACACCTTTCCGTCACTCGGTTTTGACCCGATTGTGACGTTGGGAGGCGCCGAGGATCTAACTACTCCTGAAGAGTCCAAAGTGCTCGGTGCAATTTGGATTGCGTTTTTAGCTCGGTCCGAATGCTCTTTTTGCACGTGTTGGCTCAAATGAGATTTGCTCTTGCAGATAGTTTCACAGTAGGGACACTTGCAGTGATAAACTGTGTTTCCGATAACCCGACATTGACCTCGTCGTTGTCTCGCTCGGGTATTTTGATACCACACTTGAACCACACGACGACTCAGTCCAACCGAGCTGGCAATCGTTTCCATCTCAGTTCGACTCGGGTTGCTATTTTCTCCGTATTTGGTGTACAAAATCTCAAGCTGATCTGGTGAAATAGTAGTGCGCATTCTTCGAAAATACTCTTGAGATCCGGCGCCATTGGCATCGAAATGACCTTGAGCATCACTGAGATACGAAGCGTTATTCGATACTCCGTTAAAGTTACCAGATTTATCCATTGCTGTAAACTTTTCGTTAATGCGCTGCATAGCATCCAAATCATTACAGCTTTCATTCTGTTGGTCTTGCTGAGAAGACAGTCCACTAATAGTCAAAGCAACTTGCTCAATATGTGCCCTTTGGTGTGCATCGAGCTCGTCTTCTGAGGCCAAAATAGCCGGACACAAACTGCAGTTATAATAGAACTCTTCGTCATCTTGGGTGTTCTGAGAGAACCCATCATTGTCCGACTCATCTTTTATCACAAGCTTGTTCGACTCGTTATCTCGGTTACGTAACTTAGCTCCCGCGGCTTCTCTGCTGGAAACTTCCGCTGCAATCTGATGGGCTACCGATGACGCAATCGAACTCATTACGTCATAGTTAGGAGCAGGTTGCGGCTCGACGACAGTCGTAAAATCTTGTGCAGTGGTGGGAACTGGATCCTGTTCAGCTTCGTTATAAGTGCAAGCGCCATGGTTAACTGCTACCATGTTGACGACCTCTTGAACTAATTTAGTGGCGTCATGATCAAGATTACTTCGAGAGCTTTGCGTGCTGCTAACCGAATTGGGTCGCAAAGCCGAAGAGTCGCTGATCGAAGAACTGCTTCTTGGTTCATTAACGCAGACACTCACCTGAGGAACTTGTCCATTTGAGTTTTCAGGTCCAGACAATTCCATGCTTCGTCTTGCTTTCTGGCGCTGGTTTTGGAACCAAACAACAACGACTCTGGGTGAAAGACTTAGGCTCTTAGAGAGATTTTCCAAATCATCGTCACGAGGATATGGGTTTTGGTCGAAAAAGTCTTGAAGGGACTTTATTTGGTGATCTGTAAATCTAGTCCTAGTAGCTCGCTTTGACGACATATGTTGCTGATTCTGTTGCTGCAGAAACATCGTCATTGGCGACGGTGGTTTACCTGGTGATGTTGTGCCGAAAGCACTCAAGTTGAATTTCGTTGGGTCGAACTGGCCTGGATTCGAACTGCTGCCAGGAAGCAAACTTTGCATGTTATTGAATATCGCCTGCTGAAGAGACAAGGTGTTCTGAGACACAGACGAACTTGATGAACTAGTTGCACATGAAGGCGGGTTGTTGAAATTGTAAGGCGAATCTTTATCTTTCTGTCTTTCTTTGAAAAGAGTGTTTCTAAACCAGTGCTTAATAACTTTAACAGGCAGTCCTGTTTGCTGCGACAATGCAATATATTTTTCTTCGCTCGGTAAATTGCTGATGTCAAAATTTTGCTTCAAAATTTCCAGTTGAGGTTCTGAAATTTTGGTTCTTGGTTGCTTCTGAGAGCTCTCAGGAGCTACAGACTCGATAGTTTTCCCTCCGTTTGCAGCCGAGGCGATCATAGAAAGAATCGGATTGTTTGCGAACATCTGAGATCCGAAGTTCGAATTTGCAAGAGCAGCCGCGGGTAATATTGCACTAAGAGCCGCTGGGTTCTGCATGAACAATTGCTGATAAAGCGCCGCTTGTTGTAGAATGAACGCGTTTGTAGCGTTAAGTTGGTCTCCCGAACCAAAACTTGATCCTGAATGACTTTCGCCATCAGAACCTCCGCCATCCGACTCACTTTGCGTTAACTCGTCGCTGTAAAACATGTTATCATCATCTTCATCCTGAAAGTTTCCAGAACTTTCGCATCTGGGCTCTTCGGCTATTTGTAGGTTCCCAGGTACTTTTCTCGTGGGAGTGGAACTTTCAAACATCCCCGATTCGATTTTAACACTGTTTTGCGTCGAAGTTGGAGAGTTATTTGCAACAATCACAGATTGGTATTTTCCTGTGGGTAAAATTTCTCTGCTAGTTGAAGAGTTTTCAGTTGTGGTATTAATTTTTTTATCAATCTTTATTGAATTGGAACCATCATTTTCGCCAGCGTTAGTATCATTAGTATTAAGGATTCCGCTGGCTGAGTTTTCATCACTCGAATTTTGTCCACTAATTGAGATTTTGAAAAGTTCGTTTAGCTTTGAGTTCTGAGATGTCAATTGCTGTTGGTCCATGGCGCCCTCTTGTGACTGTTGTCCCACTTGTGGAGTTGCATTGTAAAGAGGCATCAAAGAGGACAACAGTTTTTGATGCTGTAGCAAAAACTGCTGTTGCTGTAAAAGAGCCATCTGCGTTTGTACATCAAGAAGATTTGTGTTTTGCAGTTGCTGTGTAGCCGCGAAAGTGTCCTGGAAAACCTTCAAATCATGCGGAGATACTTGCATACCCATGTTGCTTAAAAAATTCATGGCTGCTAGCGATGACGTCATGGCATTTGCTGACTGTTGTTGCTGCGAGAGAGATCTAACAACGTCGTCAAAACTTTCAGCTGTCGTCTGCAGGTTAGAGCTACTGTTGTCGTTGTTGAGCCCATTTGTTGAGTCAACAGATGACATTGAATTGCATCCGGGAGTCAACTGAGAGCTACATGCCATTTCGGAGTTGCTGGAATCCGGACTTGATGAACTTTGGTTGTTGGCATTTGATTGTCGGTTAACCGTTTCTTTATGCAGCAGCGAGGCCAAATGGATCACGAGAGTTGATTCCGAGGAATACGCAACGTCGCATGCTTCGCATCGAAACGGCTTCTCGGCTCTTGTCGGTTCGGCAGAAGCTGATACACGAGAAGCGTTTACTTCAGAAGCCGAACGCTCCGAATTGTTAATTGCTGGGACTTCGGTGTGGGCAGTGTTAATATGCGATTGCAAATTAGATTGCAGAACATAAGCGAAATTGCAGTTGCTACAGTGATGTGGTCTTGAACTTAATGAAGACGCCGAGTACTGCGAAACTATAGGTAATGAATCCAGAATGTCGTTTTTGAAGTCGGCCTGAGAGTTTATTTGACCAGAATGCTGATTAGAACAACTGGAATTCAAAACATGCGTCGAAAATGTCGTTTCATTCAAAAATGTTGTTAAGCATGTCGAGCATGTCAACGCTAGAGGTAAATGTCCGACGGTATCGAAAAAATGCAGTATCAAAGTTTCTTCGGACAGAAAATTTTGTCCGCATTTTGGATCCCAGCACGGCAAACTTGAGTCTTGATCCGCATGCACCGCGATATGGTTCGACAACGCATTGTGAGTCGGGAAATGTTCTTTGCAATCCGGAATCCCATAGCAAACATAATTTGTGCATGACTTCGCATGGTTATACAAATCAACAGTGTGATTGAATTCTGATCGACATCTATGGCATCGATATTTTAGGACACCAGAAATGTTAACCAGTGCATTTTGGGAATTTGATGAACTTGCTGCGGGGATTCCAGAAGCAACAGGTTCCGATGTACTTTCAGAATTTGACTTAGCAACTCTAGGAGTAGTCCTAGCAACTGGTTTAACACTCATTGTGGGTTTAACAACTGACAGTAATGCTTCAATACATTCCGTAGAAACTCGGTGGTCTTGCATTATATGTTCTCTGAGCAAATCTCGAGTTCTTGAAGGTTTAGCACATAAAGGACAGTTGAACGCTTCGCCGTAGATTTCGGAACTTTTGGCTGAGCTTGAGTTCGAACTCCCGTTTCGGTCATTTCCGCTGCAATTTTCAACCGAAACTTCGAAGAAATCATGCCAGGAATTCGCCTCATTTGAACTATTTCCAGATTGCAGTTTTTTATTGCGAAGTTTGGAGCAATGTTGAGTTTGTTGCACATGTGAAATGATTTCAGGTTTGGACATGAAACCCGAGGCGCATACTTTACAGTTGACTTTGGCACCCGGTTTTGACGTAAGCGACGTGAAAATTTCAAATAGTTTGACCGCCAAAACATGCGCGTCGGCAGTTAAATGAGCATTCAATTGTCCAATACTTTTTGCCTGGAAGTCGCACGCATTGCATGTTATCTGTATTGGACTTATCTGATGAATTATGGTAAATATCGCATCCAAGTTTTCGTTTCCCTCTTTCAAATGGTTGAAAATTTGCACCTTTTGCTTGTGTTTTTCAGTTTGTGAGTGCAACGTGAAGTTTGCTTTTAAATTTGTGGAGTAATTGCATAGTAAGCATTTGAAAGTGTTGTTGTTAACTGTTGAGTAATCTTGAGAAGTTATACTTGTTCTATCTCTCAATGCGTGATTCTGAATCAAATGCGCATCATCGGAACAAAACCTATTGCACAAACTGCACGTGAAAACTCCGCTTTCGTTCACGCCAGCGCTGTTTGCGGTCAAACCTGCCGCGTGGTTAATTTGGGGTAGAATCCCGTCCATTCCTCCGATAAAAAGAGATGCTTCTGGGTTCGATGTTACGGCAGCTACCGCCTCTAGCTGCCTTTGCAGAATTAAAGACTGCAAAATGTCGTTTGTAGTTTGTTGCTGTTGGTTCAAAAGCGCAGATGCCAAATCGTTCGCGGAATTGTTGCCAGAATTCATCGAAAGCAGCGCGTGTTCGGTAGCTATGTGCACTTTAAACGAAGCGGCATTCACGGTTTGAAACTCGCAAGCTGGACATTTAAAGAAATTTGTCGATTGCATGTTGGCCCCAATACTTTCGGATAAATTTGAAGCGCTCTGATTGGCTCCCGACTGAGTAACTGCCGAGATTGTTGCCGAGGTTCCATTTGATGTTTCTTCAAGCGTCCCGTTGTTTCTTTTCAGTTCCTGGACGTTGTTCAAATGTTTGTCAGATTGCATGTGTATGCTTAGGTTGCCTTTTGTTGTCGTCGAGTAATTACAAACTTCGCATTTGAACGGTTTATAACCACAGGAATACGTCTCGCCGCGAGCAAGCTTCGGGTGCGGCTCGTTAGTCGTGCAGTACTCGCATGTGTTTAGACTGTCCGAGTGTTTTTCTTTCATATGGGCGTCCAAAGTCTGTTGGTACTTATAATGCCAGTTGCACTTGGGACATTTTAAGGTCTTGCTTGAGTTCCTTGAATGACACATTGCCATATGAGTTAAAATGTTATTAGACGTAGAGTTGAAATCAATAGTTGCAGCCGAGTAATTTCCCATTCCGTTTTCAGAGCTAAAAATTGAGCTGATGATATCGTTCGCGTCTTCATCTTCATTTTTGACTCCGGTGCCTTCCTGGATTAAATGCTTAGATGCCAGTTTTAAACTCTCCAGTGAAACCTCCCGGATGTTGTCGAGACCGAGCACAGCAATGTCTTTAGTCGTTTCGCAACTGCTGGTCGGGTGGAAAACAACACTGCTTTGAGACTCGGCAAAAAATGAAAAGTCATCTTCAGAAAACTCGCAGTTATGGCAAACTTTTCCGTGCTCTGAAAGTCCTGACAAGTCGCTGTATGAAGTATTGCATGCGAAACAAAGCATGAAATTCAAACTACCGTTTTTCGTTTTCTGGCAGTCCAAATTTGCTTTCAAGTTTAAACGTTCAGACGTCAGATCTCGTTTTGTGATGGTCAGTATTTCGTCAGATATGCTTCTCGAATCCTCCGAGTAATCTTGAAACGTGAACACATTTGCAGTCACGACTTTGAAAATTCCTTCCGAGTCGATTCGGACCGACAACGTACAAGTGCTGTCCTCGGAGTTAAAGGAAATCACGCCTTCGAATGACACTCCGCAGCTCGCGGAAGGGTCGACTGGACTAACTTCTAGCTTGCACGACATCTTCTCGGAACTCTCTGTAGCGATCGCACTGCCATTTATTTGGCCGAAATCTAAATCTGCCGACTCGTTTGATAATAATTCTGGATTCGATTCTCCTAATACGGAACTTGAGTCATCTATTTCGATTTTGATTCTCTTCGGCGCTGACGACGTGTCGCTGGCAGAACAGTCGGGGCTTTCGTTCTCGTGTTTCGTCTGAATCTTGGCTGGCAGTGGTTCGGATGACGTACAAATGACTTCATTGCTTTCCGTTTTATGTTGGGTTAATTTGGGCTCAATTTCGGAAGTGTTCAACTCGTCAGACACAGGCGGCGATGAGTGATCGTCCATGTTGCATTCAGTGATTGGGCGTTCAATTCTAGTCTGTGATAATTATTTGATCAACTAACTAGACCACTAGTTTTAATTATAAATAATCAATTCGGTAGACTATTTAAATGAGATAAATGAGGTGTTCGTTTCAGCAAAGTCGACCAGATTGTTTATTGCTCTGCCAATGCTAAAACATTGAAAGATAGTCTCGTTTCGCTTCTCGAAAGAAGAGAATTTAAGCTAAAGAAACTGCATGTGTTTGTAAAGAAATAGAATCAACTATGCCAAAAGAGTAATTAAACTAATGATTAATTAAGTTGACATTACGATTCTAGTGTGCTCATTAAGACGATAAAACCTTTTCGTTCCGTACTTCGAAACCATGTTTACCGTTCGTATCGCTTTTGGCGCTTCATTTAATTGAACGACTCATTTTGAGACTTCAGGCACCTTTACCATCTCCAGTCAAAACTTCAAAAACCTCAGCGATTTATACTCATTACGTCTGATTTATTAATTGCATTCGCTAACTATTATTTTCTTCGTCTCTTAAACAGAACTTAACCAACTTCACCGGCCATAAAATTGATTAACAAAGGAAACAGCGGCTACTCGTAAATTACAGCTACATTTGTAATTTTCGTCATATTCTTCATTTAAATATTTTCTACGTTAGGTAAAAAATAAAATAATCAGCAGAAAACAGCAAAAACACGTACTTTAATTGTTAACCAGATAGTTTAATTAAACCGTTCGTTATAGAAAGTGCAAAACAACGCGTTTAATTAAATTCATATAAATGAATAAACAAAGACTGAGTACCACATTAAGACACCGAGGCGTGTATCTGTTGGTTCAAAAATTTAGCCTTTCAGACGACCGAAACCGATTGAAATAAATTCAAAAATGATAATTTCCAATTCGCGAAAGGGGATCAAATATGATAGTTGTGTCCCTGGAAACAACAAGTATGATAGATGGGTCGGGTCAGCGACTTTTGAGAAAATTTCAAAAATACAATCAAGCAAATGCTCTGCCTGCTTGAAGTTTTTAAGCTTTAGGGACCCAACTATCGGGTGCCGGACATCAAACCGACGGGACTTATAGCCGAATCGTTAAATTAGGAACTTGAAGTCATTCCTAAGACGTGTGTTATTAGCCAACGTTATTTTTGTAAAACCTCTTCAGTTCGAAAACTTCTGGATCGAAAAAAAACTTACCCGATGTTTGAAAATGTTAAGTGCAATTTGTGCTGAAATAATGAAATTGAAACAATAAGTTTGGACTTGAAAGTGACGACAGCTTGAAAGCTAGATTACTAGATGTTTGAATTTAGAATTAGATCGAAGAAACGGTGCAAGTTGCTTAAGCTTTTTAACTAACGCAGTTAACTAACTTCTAATTAGTAACTTGATTTACTGAACTAATTGTAAAGTTGATGCAAATGTAAGACAGCAACTCGAATTATAGCTAATCTAACCCATTATAATTGTTACATTATGCTTACTAACCCACTAATAAGCAAAGTTGCAAACAGAGAACATAAATTTATAATTTCTACTAATCTCATTACGAGATCACGTGAACTAATTAGACAACTGGAGCGAAAATGTGCATTACCTGTCATTTTGACGCATACGCGACTTCTAAACTAACTAGAGGCGTGTTAAAAAAATAAATGCGATTGTAGAAATCGACTTTGTTGAAGTAAAAGCTCAGAATGTTCCGACTTATTCAAAAATTTCCAGCAACTTTGTCACGTAGACTTTCGCGATTGAATTCTAGAATTCCACTGGGTGGTTTCTCAGAAAAAATTGTGGGTCTTATGCACTAAAAGGCCCAAAATCAATTTTTCTACATCGTAAGCTTTATCAAATTTGATTGAGTAATTTTAGCCAATCAAATTCAAGTTACACGGTCAGGCATTCCGATCAACTTTTCTAGCATTGTATTGCACTATTTCAAACTATTTCTCTAAGTTCTGGTCTTTAGAAAAAAAACGCAACACCAGAAAAACATCGCGCAACTTAACAAAAAACTTTATGAAGCTGACAAAAATTGAAAAACAGAAGCTTACAGATTAGATAGAAGTTCATAGAAGTAATAGATTCGATCAGTATTGGAGTTAGAAGGGCCAGGGGGAAGGGCTAGTGGTAACCTCCTCCCCCCCCCCCTCTCTCGGAGTCGACCCGCTCGCCCTAAACTTTTCTATTAAATACTTATTTTGAAGCACCCACTGAAAAAACGCTATTTATTGTCAAAACCGTCCAAAAAGTGCGCAAAAATTTCGTTTATCGTTTGTTTTATTTGCAAAAGTTGCCTGCGGCTCAGAAAATGTTTTATAAATAGGATCCTTATAGTGATAGTGTTCTAAGAAAGCTTGGTAAATCAATTTGGCTGGTTTAAATAAGGTTCCCCTCAAGAATAAAAAACTAAATCCGCGCCTGGGTCAAGTAATTTTTTTTTAAAAAGGTTACAGTTACATATTCAAAAAACTACGAAATAATAAATTGTTCTTAGTAAATTCAAAATAGCAAAGAAATGGCTTGAACTTTGCAAACTTATCACTTGTGACTTGGCTGTCTTCTTAGAAACAAAGCGAAAACTTAAGACAGAAACAAAGATAGCTGCTTGCTATGCAAGTTGCACAGAATGTTCCGACCAGCGTGGCTAAAGAAAAAAATCAAAACTTAAATTGAATTTTTGTTTCTCTTTTCTTAATTTCCTGTTACATTATTCAATCGCGGGCAATTTAGTTGCAGTAATTAAAGTTGCAGTAGTGACGATAACCGAAAAACATTAAACCAGTTTTTTCGACACCGAGGCAAATTTTTTTTTTTTCGTATTGCCAATCATTAAGAAAGGCAAACAAGACTGCTCGTATCAGGGCGAAGCCCTGAATGTTCCGACTGCCTTTTAAGGTTTTATGGAGCAGTAATAACATCAAAAAATTAAATGTATCAAAATAAATTAAAATTTTTTTTCTTAAATTTGAAATTTTTTATGGAAATCATCCCCCCACACGCCATATTAAGTACAAAAGGATAGATTTCGCTCCTTGTAACAAATCAATTATGGCAAATAAGCTTCTTTCAACCAATTTGGAACGATTTTAAGACGGATTAAATCTCCGCTTACGCGATAATAGCGCGAAATATATTGCGCGTTAATTGTCCCAAATTGGCCAAAATGGCAATCTTTAAACCCCCATAACTTTACGAAAAATGATCACAGGTGAAAAATCTTTTCAAATTTGAGCTCAGGACAACAATACCTTTCGAATGATGGCTAGTTAAAAAGTCGAAATTTGTCTGAAGAAAAAAAAAACCCACCCGAGCACAAATATTCCGTTACTTTCGTATCGAAAGTCGGAACAATTAGAAAGACTGTTATATTACACCACACTTGACCCCTGCTAGTTTTCTTCGAGGAAGCTAAATCTGGCTATTAAATAGGAAACACTACGCCATAGTTCTTTCCAGTATAATTGTTCCGACTTTCGATCGGGGTAGGTTTTTTTCGGGGTAGGTTTTTTTTCTTCAGACAAATTTCGACTTCTTAACTAGCCATTTTTGATGGAATTTTTGAATATCATTCAAAAGGTATTGTTGTCCTGAGCTTAAATTTGAAATATATTTCACCTGTGATCATTTTTCGTAAAGTTATGAGGGTTTAAAGATTGCCAATTTGGCCAATTTGGGACAATTAACGCGCGATATATTTCGCGCTATTAACGCGTAAGGCGTAAGGGGAGCTTTAATCCGTCTCAGAACTCATTCCAAATTGGTGAAAGAAGCTTATTTGCCAGGAATGATTTGTTACAAGGAGCGAAATCTATTCTTTTGTAGTTTATATGGCGTGTGGGGGGATGATTTTTATGGATTTAGATTTTTTTTTTTTTTACATTTAATTTGTTAATGATATTTACGTTATTGCTGCTTCATAAACCTGAAAAGGCAGTCGGAACATTCAGGGCTTCGCCCTGATACGAGCAGTCTTGTTTTGTTTGAATTAGATGAAATTTTAGATATTTTTGGAGTGTGAATGGGTATTAAGTAAACACGATTTGTTGAATTTGCCATTCTTAGATTATAATTTAAAAGCTTCAGAAAAAAACGACTTGACTTGAAAAACAGGATAATTCAGGGCTTCATTTTGATACCAACAGTCTTTTAAATCAAATATTTTACAATAAAAACAAGGATAGACGGTTGCTGTGCAAGTAGCACAGAATGCTCCGACCATAGTCTTATAAAATAGAAAAAAAAATGTTTTTTCGAATTAGTGTCGTTTTTTTTTGAATGGTGCGATAAAAGAACTGAACAAGAAAGTAGATCTTAAGAATATTCCACATTCATAGTAAAATAGGCCAATTGGTAAGCACTTTTGTAGAGAAATGAACTAACTATAATCGAAAAAAAATTAAGTTTTTACGGCTTGAAATAAGAATAAATAAGCTATTGTAAGCCTCGACGCTTACCTTATTAGATCAAAATCAGAAAAAATTCAAAATTTCAAACAGGTTTTTCTCCACACTGAAAAAATTTTCAAGTCTTTGGAATCAAAATTGAAAAGGCGTTAAGGTGATATATAATTCGACCCATTCCGATAATCATTCGTGATAATTGAGATTGCTTGGAAAACAGAGAAAAAGAAAAAAAGTTAAAACACTCCCGAATACAAAGTTCTTCCGCATTTTTCAAATGGTGGGAACAACATATGTGCTTTTACATTACATTGAATTGAAATTGTCTCCAAAGTTTCAATTTTTCGTTTCAAAATTTGAAAAAACATTGAGAGATCATTTGTGTTTGCTCAGACCAATTTCAGTGCCCTACCCTGATTTTAATCTAAAAATTCATTGACCTGGCTTTTTTCGTGTTTTTATGGGGCTAGCAAAAACACCAATTCAGCTAATTTGGGGTTTTTTCTTATGAATTTTTTGGTATTGCGTGCGGGGGATATTTTTGATTGTTCATAACAAAAAATTTATCTTTTTGCTTAGAGATCAGGGTTTTCCTGATACCAGCTGTCTTGTTAATGATTGCACCGCTCTTAGATTCAAAATGTCATTATTTCTGGCCTATATCAAACAACTCAAAAATGTTTTGTGTCGATACCTCAGCGCGTTCTTATCTCCAATCTGAAAGAAAACCCAGAAAATTTTAATTTTCGATCACCAAAACG